GCTTCAAATCTTTAGTTTAATTCAAGTTAATTTTTATGAGTACAGTAAAATAGAAGTCTAGTTTCATTCTTTTGAATATGAATATCCAATTTTCCCAGCAATGTTTATTGTTTTTTCTTCATTGAGTATTCTTGGCTACCTTCTAAGATATTAATTGAATGTATATTCCTGGGTTTATAGTTAATAATACTGCATCGTGTTTTTGAAATTTTCAAAGAGAAATTTTAAATGTTTTTATCACATACAAAAACTGTAACTATGTAAGGTGATAGATGTTAACTACTCTTGTGGTAATAGTTTCATAATATATGTGCATATCGACTCATTTTGTTGTACACCTTAAACTTACACAATGTAATATGTCCATTATAGCTTAATAAAACTGGAGAAACAAGCAAAAAACACATTATGATGGCATATGCTGTCTTGCATAGATAGAATCACTTCAAACCTCATTACAGTAAAATCACTTAGCCCCTGAGATATCTCTCAATTTGTACCTCGGACAAAGAATGTTAACTTAGCAAGATAAGTTAGTAAAAAAACAACTATTAAGTGCATTTTACAGGTTCTATATTAAAATAAAGTCTGTGAAGGCAAAAGAAATTTTGGATCTCCTGCCACTTCCATGTGGGGTGTGTTGGCCTTGATTGGAGACATTTCACTAGACGTTGATTTGCACATTGTTTGGAGTAATTACACATGGAAAGTTCACTTCCTCCTAGTAACCAGAATATTGAGACCTGCTAAGAAATCAGGAGGGAACAAAACCTCCAATTTGGGCTGACCTTTGTCAAAATCTGAAGGGTTTGGAAACCTTCCTCCTTCGTTTCCTTTTGCATAGAAATAACCTGTAATCTAACCTTAAATCTACAAAAAAACGGAAAACAATTTTATGCCTTATAAACCATGGTCTCAGGAACACTGTACACCTCTGGTCACTAAGAGGCTCATGTGACATGTGTGATACGAAGGCTTGACGCAGCCAGAGAGAAAGAAGAGGCCAGTCAAGACTCTCCTAAGAATCTTGCTCCCAAAGTCTGCAGAGACCTTTTTGGTGGGAGGGAACACAATCTTCAGCCAGCCAAGAGTTAAAATAAGGAACTCACTAGATCTGGATTATATGGAGGTACAGAAGGGATTCCGGCTAATGAAGTGGAATTAAGCACAAGAGAAATACTCTGAAGTGGATGAAACACACTTTTCTCTGCGACAGCAACACACCCACAGAAAGCAGGGGCCGGTGTACTTGTCACCATTGCTGGGCCTCCTCAATGTTCACAGGTTAGGCAAGGTGTCCTCCCCATCAGCTTCAAAGTTAAGACTGTGTTCAGGTTTGAAGCAGCACAAAGTGATATCAGAATTTTTTGTCTGTAGTTATAATGGTGACAGATGTCTCTAACTGCACACCATTTGTGGGTGAAGAGAGGTTATTACTGTCATTATTTCTTTTTCATCAAGTGCTCACAACAAACAAGGTGCCATATGGGAGGGTAAGCTAGTTCCCATCCTGCCAGGGCCAAGTGTGAATCTGCAGGGACTATACTGAATGGGGATTCTTCCTTGGATGGGGAGGGGTGTTCCAGCCTGCATCTAGCTTTGATGCCTTTGGGGTTAACAATGTGATTTTCAGCTGTTCTCCGTGATGCCTCAGAGCCACTTCAAATCTTTGTCAGATGCCAACCCAATGGGGACAGGCTGACTTTGGTCTCTTCATTTCTTCATTTGGAAAGCTCAACATCCAACCCCCCTGGAATATTTTCTGAGAACTCAGATTGATCTTGGCATGAAGGGAAGGGCAAGAGAGGAGCAGGCATCCCACCGGTCCCCTGAATCAAATGGAGCATCTGGCCCTACAATGTTAAAAACTCAAAAACATTGCATGTGAGAGAACAATAAATAATGTTTACTAGATCTTTGGGTTACAGGCATTTTGTAGTATATTGTTTAACCCACATTACCTCCATTAGACAGAGGCGGTCAGGAGGGTGGTCTAAGTAATCCATCCATGTTCATACAGCTGGTAAACCACAGAGGCTGGCTTTGAATTTGAGCCTTCTGGCTGGTTCCGGAGTCCACCAGATAATTTGTAGTTTCTGTAGGCTTTACACATTTTAGAGGCTGTATTTCTGTTGCTGAGTTAATAGGACCTCAGCTTCATAAATAGTTTTCAATTAAATAATGACTTTCCATCATCCTCTTTGCAGTGCACTTCTTGTCATGATGTAAGGAAATTCAGAGACCCTTCTGTTGAAATAGTGGATCTGGCCTTATTATGGAGCTATTGCTCATATTCTTTTTAAAAGCAGTTCTATGCCTCCACAGACATCACAATCTGTATTTGAGAGGCTGTCTGAAAGAGCCTTATTATGGCAGCATGCTGCTGACAAGCAATGCACTATTGCCATCTATTGTAATGGGGAGTAAGTTGATTTACTGCAAAGGCTAGTGAGCTAATAGGAAGGATTCAATATGCAGCTGGGAACTGCAATTCATTGCTCTCCTCTGTTCAGAAGCATCTCTCAATAGCTCAGGGCAACCTACATACTACACTCTTGTGGACAGTATTTGACCTGAAGAAACCAAAACCTGGCTCAGTCCAGGGTCATGAATCCAACTCACTGATGATGAGGCTAAGGAAGGTGAGGCAGTTTTTTCACTCTTTTCCTTTAAACTCAGTGGGAAACATCAGTACCATTTTTTGCAAAAGCAGCATTTTGCAGACAATCTCATTCAAATAGCATTGCAGGAAGCGAGGCTGGGACTAAGCTCCCAGCGGCTGGCTTCCCAGAGGACAGTGAAGGAAATGCTTTCCTGTGCTTTCATGTAGGCATCATCTCCTAATCCTCAAGGAGATGAAAATAAAGATTCACTGAATTTGGGAGAGTGTTGAGTGTATCCCATTGCCTCTCTGCCTTCCAAGCCCATCAGAAACCTTAGGGCCTGGTATTCCCTTCGTTTTGTGCTGGCCTTGAATGAACTTGTGATCTGCCACAAGTTCACTCACAGGACCAGCCAACATGCTAGGCTTTCTCATTTCTGATCTGCCATGAAGCAGGCCAGCGTCTGCTGCAGATCTCTGGAAAGCACGGCAAGGCAGCCAGCATCACGCCCATTTAGCCTGTGGCTGTTTAAAATCTCACACATCCAAGCACATCTCCAATAGTGTCAGTTCTTCTAGGACAGTGGTCGGCAAACACATTAGTCAACAGAGCAAAATATCAACAGGACAACAATTGAAATTTCTTTTGGGGACCAATTTTTTTAAACTTAAACTTCTTCTAACACCACTTCTTTAAAAGACTCTCCTAGGCCAAGATATTTTGTGGAAGATCCACACTCAAGGGGCCTAAGAGCAGCATGTGTCTCGAGAGCCGCAGTTTGCTGACCATGGTTCTAGGAAATTAACTTGAATTCCTTTCTATTTATGCTTAACCTCTGGCTTGCTCTCTTCCCTCCTGTGCCAAGATGGCACATGTCTTCAATTTGGTATCCCTCTGTTCTGTTTACTTTCCTGGATGCAGTGCTTCTCTGGGAATCATTAGAAATTCCCACTCCAGCTCTGAGATGTAGGAAACCCCTCTGGTTGCATTGATTTTTCCCTTTTTCCTTTTGGCTCTTCCCCAGACTCCTAAGAGAAGTGGGACAGACTCAATTAATTGTCAGAAACTCCCAGTTATGTTTTGTATAGCAGATTTGAACTTCAGAAAAAAAATTAAAAATGGAGTTATAGTTCTATGAGGCACTATGGAGTTAATTTAAACAACATCCCTGGACAGGGAACCCTTTCTACGGGACTCAGAAGACATTGCTGGTGCCTGGGACATCCAGCTCCCTTGTTGGCCTCATTGAGTTCCTATCTCTTCCCATTCTTCAGTTCAAGTCAACAAATGCAACTGAGCTGAAACTACAAGTCAGGCATGGAGATGGGCACAGACATACAATGATGAATAAGAAATGACCATGAAAAAAAAAATCTTTATTCTCAATGAGTATATGGAGCCAGACATGACCTATAGATGCCTCCAATTGACTATTTCAGGGACCTGATAAAAGTGTGTGTGACACTGGATGAGGCTTTGGAAAGTTTCCTGGAGGAGAAATATCTGAGCTGAAACTTGAAGCTAAGCAGAGTACGGCAAGTGAAGAATGAGAGAGCAAAGAACAGAAGCAAGTTACAGCGCATGACTTGGATATGAAACCAACTGCAAGAGTTTGATATCACTTGCCTGTAAAATGTGCAGCAGGCAGACATTCAAAAGATATTTATATATGGAAAAACAAAACAAAACCCAGCAACAATGTAGGCAAGCTCTACCTTAGATACCTAGAAGGATCTGCTTGCTTTGCCTACATCACTACATCTAGTAGTTTAGAGTACCTGGCAGTGTCATTGGATTACTCTTTGTATTTAGCCAAACAACTCTGGATGGTGCCACAGAAGTCTGAAATATCTGTAAGCCTAGGAAGAGAAAGATCTGGACAACACTTGTGTGTAGACTTTACCCAGACAACTTTATGGCTCTCCTATCTAGCAAATGGTGCCAACTTTACTTTAGAAACACTGAGAGTTCTGGGAAACTTCAGCTTGCAGAGCCGTTACAGGGCTCAACTGCCTCATTTGTCATGGATCCACTTTACTTGATTGGGCAATTTAATCAGCATGAAGATGAATCTGCTGCATTCCCCACATAAGCATGCATCATTTCTCTCCCTTTCTCTCTCTCTTTTTGGAATCTGTACTTGTTGAAAGAGACTCTCCTAGAACCTTTCTCTGAGGATGGGAGTGCAAGAGAAAATAAGAGCCAACACAAACATAAAACCCTAAACTTGACTGTGGCCTAGCCAGCAGGAATAAGGCAAAGTTTGAGGTGAATTTTAGAATTGCACACGGCCCATGTCTCCCTGTCTGTAACCAGCAGGGAAAAATATTCCATCAATTTAGCATTGTAATCATCATTCTCTCCATAAAGGAAAGTACAACTGCCTTGCCTAATGAGAAAGTCCTTTCTTCCTGCTTTAATCAGCAGATTGGACTCTCTTTTAAGCTTAAATAATAATGGTCGTCGTATAATCTAACACTGTAAAAAGGAAATCAGCAAAAATATCTAGAGTTATTATTTAAGCCACTTAAAGAAAACACTATCTGCTCTGCTTTTTTACAGACCTGGAATTTTAATATCATAGAAGGCAAAAATACAGCCACAGAATTTTGAGGTAAGTACAAATTTCTGATGAACAAAAAATAAAGTGTAAGTTTTCTTGAATTATCTTTAGTTGACTAATAAAACTTTGTCACACTTATTCTCTTCTAAGAAAGCTCCTCAGAAACACTAGCTCCTAGAGAAATTTTCCCTCTGCTAGACTCCTGGAGTAGCTGGTAACTGTAGTTTAATTTGGTTATTAATCACGTGGGATGACATCCCTGATATTGTGTATCGAACTGTTATTCATCTCTGGTATTGCCATTTAACTCTTCAAGGTTTAATGAGGTGGCTCACCATAGGACAAAGAATATGGGTTTTAGGGAGAGAACAATTTGGATCTGAATTAGATTTAAAAAAAAAAAAAAAAAAAAAGCTGGCTTCACCATTTATAGCTATGTGGGCTGATGCAATTGGGTAACAATTCTGAGTCTCCATTTCTACATCTTTACTATTGGAATAATGGTACTCCATTTTACAGGGTTGTTATAAGAATGAAATAAAATATATTCATACTAGTTGGCATAGGAATAGGTGAAATTATAACTATCAGCATTATTTTATCTTTTGAAGATGATTTTAAGCTCTTGATACACTTGCTTGGGGGAATCAGCTGCCAGGTGAGAAGTTAGACTCCCCCAAATCTCCACATAGTGTATAAAGGCTGCGAAGAGACAGTGAGACTGGGAAAAACACGCCCATCTAGCCTCCCCACCCAACCCCGGCATCCCTCCAAGCCCAGGTACCACAGATAAGTGAGAAAGCCTCCTTGCTATCTGACTGCAGCAGAATGAGAGACCAAACATAAAACATCCAGGTGGCCTAGGCAACTCTCACAACTATGAGGGATAATAATTAATTTCTGTTTTAAGCCACAAAACATATTATTATTTTTTCTAAGCATGCTATTCATTACATGTTTTGTATTTCCCAAGAGCTAGCCCCTCCCCCACATTATGCAACAGTCACTCTAGGTGGCCTATTATTTCACTTTGATATCTTTGTTAAAGTACTGATACACCACATCAATGGATCTTCATAACAATATACAGATTTTAAACCACTTGATTTTATCTACATGCATTTTTACAAAGGAGTTCTCTTTTTTACAAACTGTCTGAGGGATAATCACATACCTTTTAAAGCTAATGATTATTTATTGATAATGTATGGTATATCAATACTATGTCCAATTCCTATGTAAATCATAAGCACAGAAAATAATTTCACAATGAAAAATATGTATTGTATTGTTCTTGGCAATGATTTTTTTAAAATCTGACTCCAAAAGCAAAGACAACAAAGCAAATACAAATAAGGGGGACAACTTCAAATTAAAAACCATATAAACAACAACAAACAAACAAACAAACACAAAAACTTTCTGTGTGACAAATGAAACCGTCAACAAAATAAAAACATAACCCACTGTATGGGGGAAAATATTTGCAAATCATGTATCGAATAAAGGGTCAATATCCAAAATACATAAGAAATACAACTCAATAGCAAAAAGAACAAGATAATCTCACTCTGATTAAAAATGGGCAGAAGGTCTGAATAGACATCTTCTCACAGAAGTCTACAGATAATGAACAGGTACATAAAAAGGTGCTCAACATCACTAACCATTAGGAAAGTGCAAATCAAAACCCTGCACAACTGTAAAAATGACTACTATGAAAAAGAGAAGAAGTAAGTGTTGGTGAGGATGTGGAGAAGAAGGAATCCTGTTAGTGGGAATGTAAATTGGTACAGTCACTATGGAAAACAGTAGGGAGCTTCCTTTCCTCAAAACCATATAATACAGCAATGCTACTCCTGGGTTTTTATCTGAAGGAAAAAAAAAACACTGATTTGAAAAAAAAAAAAAAAAAAAAAAAAAAATATATATATATATATATATATATATATATCCCCAACTTTATTGTAGAATTATTTACAATAGCTAAGATATGGAAACAACCTAAATGTTCATTGGTGGATGAATGTATAAAGAATGTATAAATTCAGCTATAAGAAAGAATCAGATCTTGCCATTTTAAACAATGTGTATAGACCTCGAGGGCATTATGCTAAGTGAAATAAGTCAGACGTAGGGAGATCAATACTGTATGATCTCACTTATATATATGAGTTACCTAACAATAAAACAACCCAAGCTCACAGGTACAGAGAAAAGACTGGTGGCTGCCAGAGTAAAGAGGGTCAAAGGTATAAACGTTCTGTTTTAAAATAAATAAGTCACTGGAATATAATGTAGAGAATAGTGACTATAGTGAATAATAATCATATTTGAAAGTGGCTAAGAGAATAGACCTTAAAAATCCTTATCACAATAAAAAATTGTAACTGTATATGGGGATGCATATTAATTACACATTGTTTGGTGATCATTTCACAGTATTCAAATATTGAATCATTATGTTGTATACAGGAAACTAACATAAAGTTTTATGGCAATTATAACTCAATAACAACTTTTTTTTGCACAAAACTGAGAGATTCCATAACTTCTAGAGGAATCTTGTCACAGAAAACAAACAAATAAAAAACACCACTGATTACTGTGAGAAACTAATTCAATATCCATTGTATTTAATAATATCTAACCTTATTCTCTATATGGTTTTTAAATGTATTTACTTTCTACTGTATTTACTTTCTAAATGTATTTACTTTCTACTGGAGATTATCAAAGATATTGGACAATTTGTTAAAATAAGATTCCAGAAAAATTCAGATGGCTATTAATAAAGGCATATGCCTTTATCACTTCATTAAAATTTTAAATGTAATTGTTAATTCTAGAATACTATTCAAAAATCATGGCACATAGAAATAAAAAATATAAATTTATATATATATATACATATATATATATATATATATAAATTTATATTATATATATATCTATTAGCTAAACATCTGGAAGTTTAGACTAAATGTGACATTTAAGTGTACTGTTTAATCTAAGTTTGTGTGAGAATTTTCATTCCATTTTCTATAAAATTATAGATATATATTTTTGGGACCTAAAAAAAATGTGGGGAAAAAAACCCTAAAATAAAGATATATATTTATTAAACCCTAAAATTATAGATATATATTTTTGGGACCTAAAAAGAATGTGGGAAAAAAAACCCTAAAATAAAGATATATATATTTATTAAACCCTAAAATTATAGATATATATTTTTGGGACCTAAAAAAGAATGTGGGGAAAAAAACCCTAAAATATATATTTTTCTTTTAGGGTTTTTTTCCCCACATTCTTTTTAGGTCCCAAAAATATATAACTATAATTTTATAGAAAATGGAATGAAAATTCTCACACAAACTTAGATTAAACAGTACACTTAAATGTCACATTTAGTCTAAACTTCCAGATGTTTAGCTAATAGATAAGTGATAGATAGATAGATAGATAGATAGAAATGTTCATATTGCCTTCAAACAAACATGTATTTCAGTTATGTAGAAGAGACAGTTTCTGGCACTAAATTCTGTGCATAGCAACCTAACACAAATCTTGACATTTGAGTTCCTGGTTAATAACAAAAGAAATCCTTCAAAAGAAAATTGGCTAGAAGATGCAAAAGTTTACTTCATTCTTACAGTGACCCTAAATAAAAATAAGCATGCAATGTTATATTTCAATTCAGTGATAGTATTTGACTGTATTTGGTCTGATACAGCAAATGGGGTGAAGATTGGCAGGAGCTGAAGAAAGAGTGAGTTAACCGTATTCACTTCCTGTGATAAAGGAAAACAGAATTGAACAATGAGATGATGAAATACATAGAAGATGACAAAAGCTGTATAAGAGAGAAACCAGAACCAGAGTCAAGAAACTATCACCTGGTATCAGGTTGAGCTGATGACAGAAAGAGGCACAAGAAAAAAGCAGACCCCAAATGTCACTGGATATAAAAAACCAACAACAATAAAAAAACAAAACAAAACAAAAAAACACAAAAAACACACCAAATAGAGCAATTTTCTATAGGGCTAAGCTAGTATTTGTGATGTCCCCCAGATGTTCCCTGGCACCTGGTAAACTGATGCAAGATGAAGGCCATGCAGCCCACATTGTCTTTTCTCTTTACCAGCAAACTCGAGGAAGCCCTCGAGAATGGATGATTAGCATACTACTCTTGACATGTTCAAATCATTCTGCATTTTCTTTTCACAGGGGCTGAGTAAGAGGTAATCTAGATTATGATTATGCTCTGACAAGAATCTGGAGTTCAGATAACTGGCACTTTGATAAGCACATTCATTTGCATCACATACTGGCTGCCTGGATGGCAAAGTTAATATTCTGATACCGATTTCTAGTCTTTCCTATAGAAAAGATTACATGCCTTCTCTCAGGATAGAGATGCCTGCTTGTGGAGAAGGATTCACAATAATACTACAACAGTAATGAAGATGTTAGTGACTTCTCATTTATTAAGTGCTTACTCTCTGCTGGGCAATCTGCTAAGCACTCGTTTACTTTCATCTTTATTTAGAAATATTATGCTAGTAAGCAATACTATGACTATTCTTATTACTGTTGATCAATTAGGAAACTAAGGCCTAGAAAAGCCAAGAACTCATAGTTGCAAGGAGCAACTTTCAATCCTCTGAGAGTTTACACAAACATGTGCCTATATATGTGAATATTTGCTTGTACAATATAACTCATCACTAGGCATACTTATAGGATTTGTATGTCTATATGAATTACATATTCATATACATCTCTATATATACTAACTTCTGGGTTTCATCATGTTGAACCAAAACATAATCACAGAGTTTATTCAAGTATATGAATTTATTCAAGTATATAAATTTACCTGTTCATCAACTTACAGAATTAACTTCAGAATTTGTTGCTGCAAACAAATTCAGGAATGATCCTTAATGAAATGAAATCCACAAAAACTGCTAAGTAGTTATGTGTCACATGTAGATGAGGGATTGGCAAACTTTTTTTTCTGTAAAGGGCCAAATTACTGTCTTTATTGCAATGTCTCAGTTCTGTCATTGTTTATACATGAAAGCAGCCATAAACACTGTAAAAAGGGAGCCTGGCTGTGTCCCAATAAAACTTTATTTACCAAATAGGGCTGATTATTGGCCCATAAGTGTATTTTGCCAACTTCTGATAAAGAACACACACATTTTATACTCAAACTAGATGTATGCATTATAAAAACTTTCTTTTCTACTTTTTATATCATTTATTTCTAACACTGGTATGATATTCAGCTGGTCTTTTTAATAGTACTCTAATAATTACTTCTCATAAAAAGTATTATAATTAAAAAGACTAAAAAATGAGAACTCAGTTAGATGTTATGATTTATTGCTGTACAGACTTTATTGTACATGATTCTTGATTCCTTCATAGACAGAATTTTAATTCACACTGTCAATAAATTGAGTTGGATGAATTGGACTTTTAATGATAAGATGCTGAGACAAGTTATATTTTTAAGGATAAAATGCTGAGATTATATTTATATGTGTAGGTGATAAATGATTCTTTGCCATTTGATCTCAATATATTTATAAATGCCTTACACAAAGAGTTAATATTTAAAAATATTTCCTGATCTTGTTATGAATATAAGATGAATTTATATGTGTTTTATATTAAATTTGGATTTCTTTTACTATCAGGAAAGGAAATATTTTTCATCATTCATGATGTGCTTTTAAAATTCCATTCAGCTAGGGTAATTAAAAGGCTCAATTCTTTCTATTCAGTGTCTGTCTTTCAGCACTATTTTTCTTTTCTTAGGATTTTTATCAAAGATCTAGAAAATGCTAATGAGGGGTAAAGTTCTCTATCTTTTTCTTAGAATTAAAAATATACATTTATTAGTTTTGACATATTATTTTACATTAACTGATCTAGTGTACAATACTAGTGTTCATTAAAAAAAAAGAACCCTACAACACTAATATTAAATACTGAAGCTTAAACAATACAAATGCTATTTTTAAGGGCTTACTATTTCATGTGAAAGACAAGCATATAAAAATGACCCAGTTTCAGACTTCCTAGGTCTTTTCTGATAGTTCTCATGCTCCCATTTAATGACCTTCGGGAATAGGTCAGTGCAGAAGAGAGAGCCAGACTCCGTAATAACAGAAGCTTGGACTGGTGTCCTACCCTTCAGCTGAGCTGTGCATAAGTTACATAAACCAAGTACCCCAGTTTCTTCTCTTGTAACTTGAGATCAATGGTGATGATCTCATTTGGTTAGGGTGAGAAAGAAGCAAAATAGCATAGGATGGAGTGTGAGTGCGGCACATACATCTTCTCTTCCATTTACAAAGAAGTGTGGCCTTGCCAGTATGGCTCAATGGTTGAGTGTCAACCCATAACCAGGAAGTCATGGTTCAATTCCCTGTGAGGGCATTTGCCTGGGTTACAGGCTCAATTCTCAGTGTGGCAACCAATCCATTATTCTCTCTCATCATTGATTTACCTCCCTCTCTCTCTCCCTTCCTCTCTCTGAAATCAATAAAAAAAATATCTTACTAAGAAAAGCCTAGGTGGTCCTCACACCATCACACTGTCACAAGATGGCTGTGCCCACAGCAGAGGCAAGGTTCCCGTAATGAGCCATAAAAGAGGGTAATCACTGATGACTGAAAGGGTCAATGTAATGAGCTGAGATAACAGAGTTATCACATTTCAAAACTGGATACTCATTTTTATTCAAGCAAAGAAAATGATTTCATTAGGAAGTATTCTAAATGGTTGATGTTAGACTTGAGCATGATGCCTGAAGAGGCTTTGGTGGCCAAGTCTGCTCAAATGCACAAATCTTCCTTGTATTTGCTAAGTATCCAGGAGGAGAAAATGGAAGGGGTATGCAGAAGACAGAAAAAGAGAGTTTTATTTAAATAAACAAGCAAACCCTGGGCATCATATACCCTTAACCTAAGAGGGGGAACTTTCAAGAACATCACCTGAGGTGCTGTTCAGTTTTGCAGCAGAAATTGAAGAGAAAGATGGGGATTTTTCATCGGCAGAGTTCCTACTTTACAAGAAAAGCAAGACATTCTTTGTAAATTGATTTTTTGAGGTTCTCATCTGAGGTGTGAAAGAAACCACAGCATTGTTTTTCTATTAAACAATTTTTGTTTGATTATTGCTTTTTTCTCTTTAGAGAGAATACAATCCCTTAACCTTATCTGACTTTAGCTCCCAGACTTTTTGATGCTAGAGAGTGATTTCTTAGAAAAGGTGGTTGGCGAGCCAGAAATGTCACACTATCCTCCTCTTCAAAGTGCAATTATTTTTTGGGGGGGACTTCTCATCTGTGCATCTGTTTATCAAATGTCAAGCTATCATGTCAGGACAACCTGCACCTTGTCTGGCTGGTGATATGCCTGTGGGTACCAACTCAGCCTGGGCCATGCTCACTCACTTCCTCTCTTGGTGACTGAAATCAGGCCTCATGCTGACCACACAGCTGGTCCATCCAGGAAAACCTTTGCCGTCTCTCTTGCCTGCTACATGCAGGAGGCCCAGTCTGCAACTCTCCCCAGCAGTGTACCCTGCTATTGATCATGCCTTGAAAGTAAGAAGATTTCTGTGAGTGGCTGTGTGTACCTGTGTGTGTGTCAGAGAGAGAGAGGAGGGGTGTGCTTTCTTGTTGAAATGAAACAGAATATATGAGTAAGAGAGACCGTTTTTGCTCTGGTTGGCACCCTGCATGAAAAAGAGGCTTGTGTCTCCGCTTTCTTAGGGATTCAGGTTCCAATGAATGTTTTGGGGCATGTGTGCCAAGGAGAAAGGATTTGAGAGCATGGGGAGACCTGGGAGAACTCATGCAGGCAAATTCAGCAGCACCAGAGAGCGAAGAAAATTCAGTTCCGAGGCATGGTTCTGAAGCTGGGGTGTCCACAGGTTGGAAACCACTCCTGTAAAGGGGATTTTGTCTGAATCTGCACACTAATACTGCTTTCTGTAGAGGATGGGGCACTTCTGGGACAGGACTAAGCTGCCAAGTGGGCAGGGGGGTATGCCCAGAGATCATGGTGGCAATTGCCTGGACTTTGCTTGGGCTTTGGAACTCTGTCTGGGATCCCTCATTGGCACCAAATTCACATTCTTATGCACATTATTTTTTGCAAGGATTAACATACATTTCTCTCCCCAACTCCACCCCCAACTTACTGGATCAAACCACACTGTGAGTCTAAGGTTTTAACTTTGACATTCTGTATTTTCAGTTTAATTAAGTACATATCCTAGGAAATATTTTCCTGCAGCCTCTACAATAGACACTCTTGTCAGGCAGGGGCTAATCTTCAGAGCTCTCTGGACTAGGCCATAATTAATTAAAAGAACAAAAGTAGAATCATTAAAAATTATTCATCTTCGATCTCAACGAGAAGGTGTGCAAAACATAGACTCGCTTTCCAGGGTTACTTTGTCACACACCGTCCACGTGTTCACGTGGGATTTGATAGAGACACCTCAGTGGAGAGGCTGCCTCCCTGCCTCAGTCATTTGTTACCAGTGAGCTCGTAGCTTGAGCGGCAGTAAATCCCCATGAGACAGAGGTTTTATGGGCACATTTTTACACTTTTCATTACTAGCAGGAAAGAAAGAATTTTTCTCTCCGAAAGTTGGCAATTGTTTTTAGGCTAGGTTCCCTCTAACAAGAGCAAAGTGTGTGTGTGTTTGGTGGGGAGGGGTGTGTATGGAGGGTTGGGGGTCAAGGGGGTGTCTGTGTGTGTAAGGGCTGATTGCAATGAGGAGGGTCCATAGGTGTTTGCAATTGGATGGTGAGATTGATACTTGGAAACACTTTGCCAGGCATTTTAATGATTGCCAATGAAACCAACATAGTGAGGGGCATTCGCTTCCATGTTTTCTCTGTAGTTTCCTATCATTAGTTAAATCTCAACTAAGTAGCATGTTAGCTCCCTAGAGCAGCAATTGTCAACCATTTTAACCTCATGGCACACATAAGCTAATTACTAAAATTCTGTGGTACCAAAAAATATATATATTTTTTGCCAATCTGACAAAAAATAGGTATAATTTTGTTTTATTCACATCAGATTGCTATTGTGTTGGCTGCTGTCATTTTTAAGAAATGACAATTTAAGGGAAAAGAAGTCAGCATCCCTAAATAGTCAGGTACTGCCTGTTTCAAAAATGGTTGTGGTCCACCGGTTGAAAATCATTGCCCTTGATGACCAGCTTTGTATTCCTCCTGTAAAATGTGGAAGTGGCAATGATGATGCCCACTGCAGAAGGCCACAGAGGGCTCTGGAAAGCTGTAGGAGCTTTCTAGATGTACCCACAGGGGATCTGAAATACACATTGCATGATCATTCCATGCAGACTCCTCAACTACTATAAATGGTTCCAATGAATGTTTGGGGGCATGTGTGCTAAGGAGGAAGGATTTGAGAGCATGGGGAGACCCGGAAGAACTCATGCAGGCAAATTCAGCAGCACCAGAGAGCGAAGAAAATTCACATCACATAGAGACACTATTAACATTGCCAGCAAAGATGACTCCAGTCCTCAATACACAAATATGAAAAGATTTTGGCTGGATACCATCTTGTAAGGAAATAGCCAATACCTGAGGACAGTGACTCTGGGACACATGGGAGGGTCTTTGACTGACAAATGTCAACAAAAGTTAGTGATGCAAGGGAGCCCACATCATTTCTCACTGTTCGAGCCCAATAATAAGAGTTCAATCAGACTCAATTATTTTAATGTCTCTACCTTACCTCCTCCTGAGACAATGGCTTAAGTAGAGGTTTTATCAACTATTTTGGCCAGTAATGAATTCATTGAGAGCTGAAAAATGTCCTCAACCAAATCACAACAAACACTATGTATTTACTAGTTACACACACTGATGAGATAATGTCTGGATTGTAGCATGGAACTCACTCTTTTATCTAGAACCAACGGTAAAGATATTTTCATTTAGAAATATAAATGTTGCAAGTAATTAAATAAGATGATTATCTTGCAAAACCATTATTTCTATAACTAGAGGCCTTCATGAATAGGGGGTGGGTCCCTCAGCCCAACCTGCATTCTCTCTAATCTGGGAGCCATGATTGCTTAGGCCCACTCCCCATGGTTCTCTGCTCCCTGCAGAGCCTGGCTGCTCCATACCCACTGCCTAGAGGCTCTCCATGGCCCAGAGGCCCTTTGCAGCCAGGGTGGGACTCTTGCCTCGTCGCCATGGCAATGAAGCAAGCATTCCTCCAGGCTGATCATGCTGCCCACTCTCAGCAACTGCCCTACCCCTGGACTGGGGGATCTGGCAGGCCTGAGGAGATTGGTCACCACCATCTTGTGGCTATGGGCACCACCATATCTGTAATGGAGTGATGGTTAATTTGCATATCACCCTTTTATTAGATAGAATAAGAGAAGCCTGCTAACTCTGCCCTCTCTTATTCTCCAGCCCAAGATTTAGTTGGATGGGTTCACTCATAGCTTTCTTAACCCAGCTGTGCATTTCAGCTACTACAACTCTGTTCATTTAGCACCTGCTTCTTAATGTGTAAATCTTTAAGTCCTTAAACACCCTTCAACACCCAACTTCTCATGTGCTCTCCTATTTATAACATCCAAACTCACCATGAAATCCATGGTCAGTTTTGGGATTCCCTACCCACTGGATATCCATTATTAATTAACTTGTTTTTCATTTTAAATTTTGAAATAATTTCAGATGTACTGAAGTGTTGTCAAGTTGGTACAGAGCTGTTCAGCTTCCCCTAATGTTAACATCTTACATAATCATGGTACATTAATCCAAACTAAGAATTTGTATTGGTCTGATACTATTAACTAAACTGTAGTGGTTATTTGGATTTCTCCAGTTCTCCAAATATGATTCTTTTTTTCTGTTTCAGGATCCAGTCTAGGATTCCACAGTGCATTTAGGCATCACATCGCTGTAGTCTCCTCCAACCTATGACAATTTCTCATTCTTTCCTTTCCTTTCTTTTTTGTTTTGGTGTGTGACCTTGACCCTCTAGGGTACTGGATATGTATTCTGCAGAGGTATGTCCATTTGCATTCGTCTTAGGTTTTCTCATGATTAAATGGAGGTTATGAGTTTGGGAATGAATACTAAAGAGGTGAAGTGCCCTTATCATCACATTGCAGCAGAGGTGCCTGCTAGCATCGTGACTTGTTATTGGTGTTGTAGCCTCAAACACCTCAGTAAGCCATTGTCTGCCAGGTTTCTCTACTGTCTTTTTTTTTTTTTCTTTTCATTTCATATTCTATTTAGTCACTCACTAAGGTTAGCCCACATTTTAGGGGAGGAGAATGTAGGTCCACCTTCTGTAAAAAGCAGTACCAAAGAATGTCCAGGAATATATTAAAAGTCACAATAGCAATTAATAAGCATGATGGGAGAGAAGTTTTAAGCTTTTCATTTATCCTGTTTTTCTTTAACAGTTTGCTCAATCAGTTTAGAATCTCTTAGTAGATCTTGCAAGAAGCAATTATTACTATGATGATCTAATGGTGATTTCCTATTTCCCTCATTTATTATTTGGGATTCATCTATTGGGTCGGCAGCTAAGTAATTGCGGATTTTTTAAAGAAAATCAAAGACAATTTTTTCATTGAACTAAATAACTTTATTCTGTAATGTATTGCCCATTTTGATCAATGACCTCTTGCCATCTTTCAGGCAGCATCATAATCCCACGTTCAAAAAACTTCTGGTTTTTATTAGCAAAAAACTGAATCAGGTACGATTTGACATCATCATCATTATTGAAATTTTTACCATTCAAGGAGTTTTGTAAAGATCGAAACAAAATCAGATGGTGCAAGGTCAGGACTATATGGTGGATGTGGCAAAACATCCCAACCAAGCTCCATTAATTTTTGCCGAGTGACCAAAGATGTGTGTGGCCTTGCATTGTCATGATGGAATACAACACCTTTTCGATTTGTCAATTCGGGCCGCTTTTCTTCAACTGCATTGTTTAATTTCATTAGTTGTTCAATGTAGACATCAGAATTGATCGTTCGGTTGGGTGGTAAGAGTTCAAAGTAGACAATTCCTTTGTAATCCCACCAAACTGATAACAAAACCTTCTTTTGATGAATATCAGCTTTTGATGTTGTTTGAGTTGGTTCACCTGGCCTGCTCCACGATCTTTTCCACTTGATATTGTTGTAAACAACCCATTTTTCATCGCCAGTTATCAGTCGTTTTAAAAATGGACCATTTTCATTACGTTTCTTTAGCAAATCGCAGCTGCTAATGAGTTGCGTTAACTCTGATTCTTTCAGTTCGCGAGGAACCCATGTATCGAGTTTTTGAACATAGCCAAGTTGTTTTAAGTGATTTTCAATGCATGTATGTGATACATGAAGCTTCTCTGCAATCTCACGTGTTGTACTGTGACAGTCCGAATTGATTATTGCTTTGATTAGGGCGTCATCAACTTCAACTGGACGACCAGAGCGTTTTTCATCTTTGAGTGAAAAATCACCAGAACAAAATTTGGCAAACCAATTTTGACACTGCCGTTATTTTAAGGCTTCGTCACCATAAACAGCACATAACTTTTTATGAGCTTGCGATGCGCTTTTCCCTTTACGGAAATAAAAAAGCAAAATATGACGAAAATGTTCCTTTTGATTTTCCATTTTTCAACGAACGCCAAACGAAAACTACAAAACAGATCAAAAAACTTTTTTTTACTGATTAACAGCTGAATAGCCAACTATCAAATAACAAAATGTGTTTTATATTTGTACTACGTCTGCAAACCTAAAAATTCAACTGAAGCCATATATGTGTGAAACCAGCAATTACTTAGTTGCCGACCCAATATTAGGGATATTTGGTCATTTACTCTATCATTTATTTATTTAGCATGCCATAGACATTTATATTACTACTAGAGGCCCAATGCACATAATTCGTGCAAAGGGCTCAGTGCTCGCAGCCATGGCAGCTTATCTTGTCCCTCGCAGTCCTGGCTTCTTCTGGAAGGTCATCCTGAAGGATGTCCAGAAGGATGTCTGGAAGTTTGTTAAGCTATCAAGTCTAATTAGCATATTATGCTTTTATTATTATAGATTTGTCCTATAATCTAATATTCAATTTACTTTGTTCCAGTGCTATCCACTGGGAGTTTGTATTTCTTTCTGAGATTCCAACATTTATCACTTCTTTAATTTTTGGCACTTCAAGATGCTCCAGGGTGATCTTGTATTTCCTGGACCCTAGAATTAACTATTTCTCCAAGGAGTCTTGGTTTCTACTATCAGAGAATAGCATTTAGAAACCAATATCTGGGCACTAGTTGTGCTTGTTGCTACTGGCCCGTAGTTGCTTTGCTTTTAGGTTCTCTCACTGTACAGAACTAGAGAATATTTCTGTAGGGACACTATTCCATGTAAATTTTCAAATCTATATTTTGGTACCTCCCTACCCTTCTCTTCTCCTCTCTCTCTCTCTTCTCTCTCTCTCTCTCTCTCTCTCTCTCTCTCTCTGTCTCTTCACACACATCCTTGCCCTCCCTCCTTTCTTTTAGAGAGAGAGAAACATAGATACAGGAGAGATAACTATATAGAGAAGTTTCATACCATATCTCTTACTCTTACCCACTTTTCATTTCATTTTGTAATTTCTTTCTTTGGCAGTGAGAAACTTGGCCCCTGTTATTTACTGATTTGTTAAATTCTAGTATACATGCAAATTCATTTTGGAATTACTATCCTGTAACACTGAAAAATAGAATTACCAATTATAGTCAGTATTTATGTAGAGTTCTTTTTTTGTCTTTTCTCTTGTTTTTCCATTCAAAACATTGTTTACCAAATTTACATAGGTCAGCTTATTTTTTTTCCTGACATATTTGTAATATAGTTAGATTCATTTGTCAAAGTCTGTTGTCCATCTGAGATCCCATAACATTTTCTGTTTGTTTGCTAAATTGTTTTTAAAAAAATATATTTTTATTGACTTCAGAGAAGAAGGGAGAGGAATAGAGATATAGAAACATTAATGATGTCAGAGAATCATTGATCTGCTGCCTCTTGCACACCCCCACTGGAGATAAAGCCCACAACTGAGGCATGTGCCCTGACTGGGAATGGAACTGTGACATCTTGATTCATAGGTAAACACTCAATCACTGAACCATGCCTGCCAGGTTGTTTGTTTTAATTTGCGTGTAATACATTTCACTTTTTGTGGTGTATAGTTTTTTGGGTTTTGACAAATACACAGAGTCATGTATATGCCTCCCCAGTGCCATATTAGAACTGTGCTATGACCCTATAAATTCATTTGCATTCCCCCTTCTTCTCAAATTACTCAAACAAATATTTATTGGTTCTTCATCCCCATAGTTTTGCCTTCTCAAGAATATCACATAAATAGACCCTATTATATGTAGGCTTTTGGGTATGTCTTCTTCATTTAGCAAAAATGAATTCAAGTTTCATCAAAGCTCATTTCTTTTTATTGCTGAATAATACTAAACTGTCTGGATGTTCCATTGTTAGCTTATCCATATATCTGTTAAAGGACATTTTGACTATTTCCACTTTTCAGCAATTATGAATAAAGCTGCTATAAACATTTGCATACATTTTTTGTGTGAATGTAGCTTTTTAATGCACTTGAGTAAATACTTAAAAGTGTGATTATTGGGCCCCACATATGTTGAGTCATATGGTAAGTATATGTGTAATTTCAGAGAGAGAGAGAGAGAGAAAGAGAAAGAGGGAGAGAGAGAGAGAGAGAGAGAGAGAGAGAGAGAGAGAGAGAGAGAGAAGAGAAAGAGGGAGAGAGAGAGAGAGAGAGAGAGACAGAGAGAGAGAGAGAGAGAGAGAGAGAGGCATGGATATGAGAGAGAAACTTCAATGGGCCTGGACTCAAACCTGCCACATTTTGGTGCATGGGATGATGCTCCAACCAACTGAGCCACACTGGTTAGGGCATTTTTAAATTTTTTTTTATTATTTCTATCTATAGCGCTAGAACATGTGGGACACTGTATATTTATTATAATTTACTTGTTGAGGCTCTATGTATCAAGCACTATTCAAATGTCTTTTTTAAAGAAAGGAGTTCATTAAGTGTAAAAAAGAAAATTAATGTGTATACAAATAGATAATTTTAGAGAGTGATGAGTGTATTAAGAATATTGTTCTGTGATTGAGATGAACCACTTTGAAGAATTACAGCCTTAAAATGTTATCACCCCACCCCCACCCCTTGACTAAGAACTTATAAAATTTTACTGAGACCAATCAGTGCATCAAGAGTGTTCTGAAATGATGCTTTGGAAATGTATTATTCAAAGAAGGTTATATAAACTATAATCCTTCACTAGCCCTCTAGATCTAAAATATTTTGCTTGCATAGCAAGTGAGCAAGCAACTGTTTTTTGGTTGTCCATTTTTTAAAATTTTATTTGGAGAATGAAGGTAGAGAGCAGAGGAAGAGAGATCAGAAATAGAGGGAATTCTCCATAGTCATCTAAGATACACCCTGCATTGACTGACAGTTGACTTAAAAAATGTGCTATTAAGGAAAATTAATTCAATTGGGTTACAAGTATTCCTGTCTTTAGAAATGGAAGACACATTTAAAAAAAAAGAAAATGATGAATTAGTTTAAAATACATCATTTAGAGAGACATATAATATCCTGGGTGGAAGCATGAACAAAATGTTTAGCTGTAGAAGGTTTAGGAATTGATTTTCATAATATTGAATTTCTGGTTCAATAATTTTCCATTTGGGATGGAGGTCCAGGTGTCAGAGCAGTTTCTCTGATACCATCACATTTCCCTTAAGTAGAAACACATTGTTTACCTAAGAGAAAGAGTCAGATTTTCTGAAACAAGATATTTTAAAATATTAATCATGGAACCTTTGCCAATGGAATACCTTAAGAATACCGAGAAACCTAGGGTTGTATCCAACTTAAATTTTAGATCCGCTGACACTAAGCTGAATACATTCAACCTATTTCTGGCCTTCCTTAGAAAGACTGAGCTTGGGAGGCATGAATAGATTCACTCGTGATGCAAATGGAGCTGAGACCGAGTGGCAATAACTTTAATGTGGAACATTGCTGTTGATATCCACTGTGCACCCTGCTTACCATAATCCTACCCAGTTCTTCCAGTCTTATGAAGCTCACATTTGCCTGTTGTCACTTGCTCATGTAGAGAGGATGGAGCTGGTTTCTGGAAGCAGTTCATTTTTTGGGGAGGGAGTTATTTTGGGTGTCCCTGGAAATTAATGGCTTGCCAGAATTATGAACAAAATTATTCAAGACAATTTGGAACACTTAGAGTCACTTTTCTATAAAGACAGATAAATAAATAAATAAATAAATAAATAAATAAATAAATAAATCGAATAATAGAAAAATATGCAAATTATTTAGGATGCCATTACAGTACAATAAGGACCAGCAGGCTGCCTGGGGCTACAAGGTAGGCAGAGGGGTTAGTGAGGGGTGACTAAACAACTGAACAGCAGGCTGCATGGGGGAGGGTTATTAGGGGCAATCAGAACAGCTGGCAGAGGCAGTTAGGGGTGATCAGTCTGTCAGGGTGGGGCAGTTAAGGGCTATCAGGCAGGCAGGCAGGCAGGTGAGCAGTTAGGAGCCAGTGGTCCCGGACTGTGAGAGGGATGTCCAACTGCTGATTTAGTTGGACATCCCACATGGGGTCCCAGATTGGATAGGGTTCAGGCTGGACTGAGGGAACCCCCTACCCCCATTCACAAATTTTGTGTACTGGGCTTCTAGTAAATAAATAAAAATATAAAAATTCAGAGATGACTTGTTAAGTTGGAAGAGTTTGTACTGGTCTATATTAAATTCTCTGTGGGATCATAATTCCAGGAAGCATTTCTCTCTACTATCATTCACTGGTTAATGATCCTACAATTGTGAAAGAAAGATGGACAGGCACTGGACACAAGGAAGATTGGTCTTATCAATATTTAGCACTGACTTCCTCACAGCTTCTCTTTAGCTGATCAGCAACACATTTCAGATGCATAGAAGTGATTTTCAACTTGTTGCTACATTTCCTCTGCTAAGATATGAAAATGCATTAATGCATAAAACATGGATGAATTCCATAGGGGAGTTTTTATATACACACACATATGTAATCTTTGATCTGGTTTTGATATTTTTCCTTGTCTCTGATGGACAGATTTCTGAAGTCAGAACTTCTGTTCTTGCCTGTGTTCTATGGCATCATTAAACAGCATTTCTCTCAAAGCCAAAAAAGACAGAGCCAGGAAAGGGGATGATAGGGGGAGGAAAAGTGAAGTCCTTTTTCTCATATATTAAAACAGACAACATCAATACTTTAATAGTAGGACTTGCTGAAGGAATTGAAAAGAAATGAGTATTTAAAAATTGTTAACGAAATAAACTATAGTTAGGCTCACTTAAGGAAAATAATCTAAAAAAATGATTAAAAAGAAGCCTAGATTTATTTAATTATAGGTCAAATTTTGGGTCCTGTTAAAGAAAATGCTATTTTAATCATGTGGGTGATCATCTGTTTAGTAAATAAATACAAGTTTTGGTGACAGAAATAAAACTGCTTGTCAGGATGTGCTAGGGTCCATGTGCTAGAGTGCCTTCGTGTCCCAGAAGGTGCCAGTTTAACACACTCCTGTCTGTAGACACCATAGGTTCATGCATGTATGTAATGATCTGCATTGCAACAGCTCCACCTATCGGTAACAAAGGGCAGGGGCCGGGCCAATGCAAATTGACTTCAAGGCAGGTTTTACTGCTTGGCTGTAGTGTTCCTCACTGCTAGGGAACAGAAGGCAATAGGGCATGGCTCCGTCATTTTGAACCTGACATTGCATGTTCCCCAAACTGAGCTGAAGGACAAGCTGTCATCGTGTGTTAGTTTAGTGGTGGCTCTGGGAATTAACTCTGATACACACACACACAAAAAGGTTCCTCAGGGGATAGGCTGACTAATTGAAGAGAAATGCTGCCTGAGGATTTCAAGCTTCTTA